TTTAAATCCAATCTGCTTCCCTAAAACAACTAATGTACTACAAGTCAGATTTTGGCGACTAATTTTTAATTTTACTTAATTTGTGACAGTTTGGTGTCCTCAATTAAAGTATAAGCTCCCTAGGGGAAAGTATGGACTGCAAAAAAGTTGAAGACATTTTTTCGTTTTTTCCCTCTAAATGTTAAATAAATTTTAGGCTAGTCACTATTACCAACCTTTGGGTCCAGTCACAGTAAGGCCTTTTCGTTTGAATACATTGGCTTTCTGTTGTACTGGATCTAGGTGAGCAACTAAGATTAATGAATTACAAGAGACAGCCAGTGTATAATGGAATTTATTTGTAAGAGTCTTTTACAACATAATTTGAAAATACCTTCATCAGCAGAGACAGCCTAAAAACATGTTCTCATTATGGTTTACAATGTATCTATCTGTATAGTTCTCCATCTGAAGAGATGATAAAGAAACAACTGTGTGAACCATAATTAAATCCATCAAGCACAGTGTGAGAAACAATGTTTAAACAACAGTTCAACAGCTGCAACACCCATACTCTTCAAAATGTTTTTTTTTTAAAGATGACCGGTAGGGGATCTTAACCCTTGACTTGGTGTTGTCAGCACCACGCTCACCCAGTGAGCAAACCGGCCATCCCTATATGGGATCCGAACCCGTGGCCTTGGTGTTATTAGCACCGCAGTCTCCCGAGTGAGCCACAGGCCGGCCCCCAAAATGTTTTTTTAATGCTTTTAACAGATATAGCTAATTTACTGTTCCTAACTTATTTCTCAATTAAAATAATAAAACATGAAAATCATTATTGCTTGATATATTTAATTTCTAAAAGACAACATGTTATTTTGAAGGTCCAAACAAACTTGCATTATAAAAATTACCAAAGGCACAGGATATAAATAAGCTGAAACAAAAACTAACAACTACAGAACTTTCAAATATCTATGAGATGAAAAATAATAAACAGTAGAAAGGTAGTTTGAAAAAATCTTCAACTCCACAGCCACTTTTTGTCTTCTTTTTTAAATAAAAGGACATTCTTTTGTATTTAAAATCCTTTTTCTATTAACCAAGTTATCTGTTGTTACCAACCTAACCATTCATGGGGGGAAAAGTCAGCTATTTTTCAATTAATAAGTTGAAAGGATGGCACATCAATATTTACACAGGCCATCCAATTTCAGAATTTGACAAGTTTTCAGAGCATTTTTAGGAACTTTAAATTGAAGATTGGGTTTAAATGTTATTTAAATAAGAGTTTCTGATTAGGAAAGTGGTCTGTGTCCAAGTTCTAGTGTTACTATGCTCTATAGAAACTTTAAGTCAAATTATTTAAAAATAGTATAAAATGTGAAAACAATTTGCTGTTCCAGATCACCCAATAGGATGTAGCAAAGTAAGATGAAAAAAAGCAAATAATTAAATTCATTATCCTTCAAGTTTCAACCTGAACTCCAAATGTCAAAAGTCACTCAAACTAGCAAAAGGAAGATAGAACGCTCATCTAGTTTTTTCAATAAGGTATCTTCGGTTTTTAAAAAATGAGACTTTGAAAAGGGGATTTGAAAATACCCATATATGTAAATTTGTGACATTTTAGGCACTTAAAAAGAGTCAACTACTCATAAAAATACTATTCTGAAAAGTATAATCCAATACCAGAAAGCATTAATGCATCCTTTTTTTAAATAGCTTTATTGAAGTAGAACTGGTGCAAAACAAATTGCACATATTTAAAGAGTGAAATTGTATGAGTTTTGACCTGTATATACATCTGCGAAACCATCACCAGGATCAAGTAACATTGGAATCAAGGACATTTCTATCACTTTGAAAAGCTTCCTCATTTCCTTTTTAACCCATTCCTCTCTCCACCACCTTTCTTACCCAGTACTCTCCAGACTCTCCAAGCAACCACTGGTCCACTATGCCAAGTAGTTAAGTTTGCATTTTCTAGGACTATATATAAATGGAATTATTCAGGTTACACTCTTTTTTGTCTGCCCCTCTCATTCAGCATTATTATTTTAAGATGCATGTATGTCACTGTATCAATAATTCATTCCAAGTTATTGTTGAGAAACATTTATTGTTTAGATATATAAAACTTGGTTTATCCCATTCATCTTTTTTTTTTTTTTTTTTTTTTCCGTTTGTATATTTACCTTGCATACTGCAACTCTGCTAAATTCACTTATTGGTTCTAGTTGCTTTTTTGCATATTTTTTGGAATTTTCTCCATGGACAATAAGTTGTCTGTGAACATAGACAGTTTTATTTCTTCCTTTCCAACATGTATGCTTTGATTTATTTTTTCTATTGCACTGGATAAGACCTCCAGAACAATATTGAATAAAATGAGCATGGACAGCCTTGCAGTGTTTTTTGCCATTAGCTATGATGTTAGCTGTAGTTTTTATAGAATCATTTTATTAGGTTGAAAAAGTTGTCTTCTATTTCCAGTTTGCTGAGAATTTTTATCATAAATAAATGAATTTTATCATTTACTTTGTATCTACTGAGATAAACATATTGTTTTCTCCTTTAAAGAAAAACTTTTTCTGTTTTTCTAAAGTCTGTTCTGCTTCAGCCTGTTTCTTCTTTAATCTGCTGTTTACACTGGTTGATTTGTAAATGCTGAACCAAACTTGCATTCCCAGGAAAATGACCTCTTGGTCATATGCATTATCCTTTTTATATAATGCTGGAGTCAATTAAGTAAGATTTTCCTGAGGATTTTTGTGTCTATGTTAATGAGTAATGTTTGCCTGTAGTCTTTTTTTCTTGTACTGTCTTTGTGTGGTATGGGTGTCAGGGTAATGCTGGCTTCATAAAATGAGTTGGGAAGTGTTCCTTCCTCTTCTATTTTCTGGAAAAGTTTGTGTAGAGCTGGTATTACTTTCTTCTTCAATGTTGGACAGATTTTGCCAGTGAAGGCATCTGGGCCTGGAGTTTTTTGTTGTTGGTGGTGGTTAACCATGAATTAAATTTCTTCAAGTGATTTATGACTATTCAGGTTATATATTTCTTGAGTGAGCTTTGGTAATTTCTTTTGAGGCATTTGTTTCATTGAATTTGTCAATTTTATGAGCATAAAGTTCTTTGTAATAGTTCCTATTGTCCTTTTCATGCATGTAAGATCTTAGTAATGCCCGCTTTTCATTCCTGACTTGGCTCAACATCATTAGTAATCAAGGAAATACAAGTTAAAACTACAGTGAGATATCACTAAACAACTACCAGTAATTCCACTCCTAGATATAACCCAACAGAAATTCAAGTGCATGATCACCAAGAAAATAAGTACAGGAATGTTCAGAGCAGCATTATTTGTAATAGTAAAACACTGGAATCAATCCAAATGTCCGTGTGCGGTAGAATGGATAAATTGTATACAGTATATCCAAACAATGGAATATTCTACAGGAAAGAACACGAACAAATCACAGCTATAAGCATCAACAGACATGGATCTCAGAAACATAATATACAGCAAAAGCATACTGTATGATTCCACTTAATAAAAATTTCAAAAAATAGGCAAAACTATAAAGTTTATGGACACAGGCTTAGGTGTTAATACATCAGAACATGGTCAACTTTGTACGGGGAGGAAAACACTGGGGCTTCTGGGATGCTGGCAGTGTTCTATTTCTTAATCTGGTAGTAATTACATGGTTATTCATTTTATGAATAATTAATTAAGCTGTACATTTATGTCTTTATGTACATTTATGTGCTTTTATGTACATTTATGTACATTTCTGTGCTTTACTATATGTGTATTATACTTCACAATTTTCTCCCTCCCCCAAAAGAATTTTTGGCTATTGGTGAATTGGTGAACTTGTTTTTTACTAGACATGTTTCAAATGTAGTGGTGGTTCTATCTGAACTCTTAATATACTCTTCAGTTCTAATTTTCTAGGATTCTATAAAAGTATTTTGTGTTTTCTTAAATTGGAGTAGGGGTTGGGGGATTTTACCGTTTGGAACTGAGAGACATGGAATTCAGACAAACGCAAAAATAGTAGCTTTATTACTGACAAAAGCTGGATTAGAGGATATGTGACCACAATGGGCTACCAAATACCCTAACCCTAAATTAGATAGACTTGCCTACCCAAGCCCAAGGCAGAGATGGTCAACTTCAGGTTTCCCTGCCTCAGAAAACATAGAATTTGGATGAAATCCAAGTAATGCAGAAGGCTTCAGGAAGGAATTTTCCCATAAGATGAGTCACTTCTCCTTTCCTGGAATGGAGTGAGTGAGGGAACTTACTCCTGGATAGAATGGAAATTTTCCGCACTCTATGGAAGCGAGAAGAATGAGGAATAAATATTACCCCTTAACAACAGGCAGACTAGCTGTGCTTGAGAGTCTGTCTTTGAAGTCAGCTCCTTGAAGCTTAATAAATGCTACCATAGGGAAAATTTTAGAATAAGCTTAGTTCTTGCTTTTACACCTACTTTCCCTTCCTCCGCTTCCAAAACTGCATATATGCTCCAACCAGCATTTTTTTCAGTAGCTTTCCTCCAACCATCTGTAGAAAGTAGTCAGGTGAAGAAGAAGGAGAAAGGGATATATGTGGATCTTCTCTAAGTCATGTACTTATGAGTAAAGACTATCTTTCCCATATCCTCATGAGATGTATTAAATTATGGCACACAACTTTAAGCACTCTGGAGTTTGTTTAAGTCTTTCCTTTTCCAGGTAAAGTTAGGTTTAGTTTAAGTACTGGCATCTCAGTGTTCAGAAGTGTTCAATGATCATGCATACTGCCCCCCTCTTAAATAGACAATAAAAACACAAATAAATATCTTCAACTTTAAGTCATTACTTCCTTCTCAGAGTGATGAATGATGATTACTGTGTGTACACAAAGACTTATTCATGATATTAATTAGGATGGATAATTTAGTCTGGGAAACTTCAGTTCAGATATAGCAGCACAAGTTTTGTTTTGTTTTTTAATTAAAGTTTTATTTTTATTTTGAGATAATTACAGATTTACATGCAGTTGTAAGAAATAATAGAGATTCCCTGCCCTTTATCCAATTCCCTCCAGTAGTAACATCTTGCAACACTACAGAACAATATCACAACCAAGATATTGACACTGATAAAGTCATGGTACAGAACATTTCCATCATCACACGGATCCCTCATGTTGCCCTTGTATAGCCATATTCAATTCCCTCTTGTCCCCACCCCCTCCTTAACACAGCTACCACTAATCTGTTCTCCATTTCTACAATCTTGTCATTTCAAGAATGTATATAAATGGAATTCTATAGTACATAAACTTAGGGAATTGGCTTTTTAACTCAGCATAATTCTCTGGAATTTATCCAGGTTGTGCATGTATCCATAGTTTCTTATTTTTTACTGCTGAGTAGTATTTCAGGGTATGGATGTATCATGATTTGTTTAACCATTTACCCATTGAAGAAAATATGGGTTGTTTTGGCTATTACACATAAAGCTGCTATAAATATCTCCATGAAATGCTCCTAAAAGGGGGGTTGAATTTCATGGCAAAATAAGTTTGAGGAAATGCTCAATACTATATCCCTCTTTTGAAATTAAATGCACATTGGTATACAGAAGGAGGAATCCAGTATCCAACTACCCAAGTCCAAATCCCAGCTCTATCACCTGCTAGAAATATTAACTCTCAGCAAGACACTTAACTTTCCCATACCTCAGTTTCCTCATCTGTAAAATAGAGATAATATAGTACCTCACTCATAAAAATTGAAGATTAACTATAAGGACACACTGAAAGCACTTGATAAATGTTAGCTGTAATTATTATCATTGCCATCATTATCAAAATCATTATGATCTTGTTAAAAACACACATGTCCAGGCCCCACTCATGGAGATTCATATTCTTCAGTCTGGGGTAGAGTCTGATCCAAGTGAAGAAGCTGAAGTTCACCTATTTTGAGAATGTGTCCAAGATAGTACTAGAGGCAAGATTTAAATCCAGACTAAACTGCCGTGTGGGGAGGTGTCGTACTTATGCACATACACAAATCTGGCAAATCCTTTAAATGACTAACTCTAAAAAGAGTGCCACGTTCTCTCCCAAACTGTGCTTGTAACATCACAAGCTCGTGACTCTTCAAAAGAAACTATTCTCCAGTAGTTCAATAAAATAAAATGCAGTTCTGTGCAGTTGGTACACATCAGCTTTTAAAAAAATTCCTAACTATATCAGTTAGCATTAATACATAAAAATTTTATTTGTGAGTCGTAACTTAGCAAATCAAATCTGAAAATAAGACATTATTTCCTCAGAAATAAAGAAAACAATTGCTATTACTTCTGTAGGTTCCACCATCACACTGCTGATTTCCAAAGGTCCTCCTAGTGACAAGTACCAGGCAAATTTCCAGGACACCTGGGCAATCATTCTGGAGGTGGTGGCAATCTTCTTACCACTTCCACAGCAATCCTCAGGTAAGCTTTGGCCTGGAAAAGAACAGACTCATTTGTTCTACAATTCTTCCCAGCAGACATGGAATGATATGACCTGTTTGCCATAGATGCCCACTGTATTTGATGGTAAAAAGGCTGAGTGAAATGAAGAAATGAGTAGTGACAGCAGTGAGGAGATAACACTGTGTACATTGCAGGTGGGACAGAGGAAAAAGGATTATTTGGAAGGTAATTATTTGGAAGGTAACTTTCTAAAAACATATTTAGTACCAGCAACTATTGTTTTTCAAACTCTAATCCCAGTGTCAGCAAACCAGCAACCCAGTCTAGTTGCAGAAAAACTACACCTTCCTCCTCTGACAAATTAATTTCCTGAGTGAGATATGGCGAGAACTTCTTTGGCGTAAGAGCTGTTAGTCATTTTAAGGAGGACTATTTATTACTACCCTATGGTTTATTTTTGGAAAGCACTTTTTTTTTTCATCTACCTGAGAATGTGTGCAATAACAGCACCTACAGCTTCCTTCACCTGGTGAATTTTGGTATATCATGGAGGAATTCCTGGTTCAGCTGTTAAACTCCTCATCTCTGGGATCCCCAGTGCAAGAGTAGGCCACAAACTAACCCTCTGAAAAGTAACTGTAAAACATAATAGTAAGATTTTCTAAAACCGTTAATTTCTACATTGATATACTTAGAATTATGTACATACTACTGCGATTACTAATAATAATGGCTAAAATTTACTGAGTACTTAATATTTGCCAAGTATTATTTCATTTATCCTCAGTTACCCTAGGGGGTAAATTCTGTCATTACTCCCACTCTACAGACAGGAAACCAAGACCCAGAAGTGTGCACAGTCTTGTCCAAACATTACAACTTGTAGGAGATGAGCTGAGCTTTGACCCTAGGCTCACCAACTCCCAGACTTTGCATGCTAGAAAGAGATGTTTGAGTTCTGTTTGCCCTGACTTGATAAAGTGCTTGAAGCATGTTTTCATTTTTAAAGACTAAGCTTTAGCCCTAACAGCTGAATAGTTTTATTTTCCAGAAAAGTGTCAAAATTTTATTTAAGAGGGTCCTTTTAAAAAGGAAAAGCTCTCAAAACATAAAAAAGGCTTTAAATTTTTATATTGAGTACCTACTATACCAAGTACTCCATGTAAGTAGTCTCACTTAATCATGTAAAACAAGCATCTCAACTTAGATGAAGAAACTGGGAGTTGTTTGCTCAAGGTCATGAAGTCAGCAGGCTTCAAACCTGGGTCCAACTGACTCTAAAGCCCAGTTCTTTCCACTACACTGTTTATTAAACAGAAACCCGAACTACAAGTAATTACAATTATAATGCATAGTCTAAAAATGTGTTCACTCTCTGCTATAGTTAACAAAAATAGTTTTTGTTTAGAAATGGAAATAACTTGTACTTAAAATGAAATGTTTCCCTTGAATCTAATGTGCTGATTTTCACCCATACATTTTTATAAATACCTTTTATCTCCTAGTAGCTTTTCTAGGTATCTATGCCTAATATTTTGTGATGAAAATTTAAAGTTCACTAGAGCCAGCTGAGACAAGGCCATCATTCTATAATCTTTTAGTACTTGTCTACGTTAAATTAAAGACATAAATTTATCAGAATACAAAATAAATGGAAAGATTCCAGAATAATCAAATTTGCCACATTTAACCTTTGCTTTTTAATAGTCTGTTTTCAAGCTCAGACTTCCAATATATCATACTCAAAGTACTGGTTAGATTGTCATTTACAGAGAAACCACTAAAAGTGCTTAGGTTAGCAGTTTCAATTTCTATGAAACTGTTGAGACTGAATTTTTTCAGCCAATGCAGTATCATTTCAAAAAATACATCTTGGTTCTTACTGAATTCAAGGAATCGTGTTGAGAAATCTGTGGATCATAATGACACAAAAGAGAGGCACAACATCTCTCTGGTGAAGAGTTGGGGCCAGGAAGTCCAGTAGACAAGGTTTAGAATCTTGGCTTCATTACTTAGTAGCTGTGAAGCTTTGGGCAGGTTACTTAACCTTTCTTGACGCAGTTTCCACATGTGTAAAATGGTTATAATAATAATATCCACCTCAAAGGGTTTGCAGGAAAGGGTAAGTGAGAAAAAGGCATGTGAAGTGCTGGCACCAAGGAAGCAAATAATAAATATTTGTAGCTGCTGCTATTTTTATTACACCCTCAAGAAATTTACAATCTCATTAAAGAGCACATATGAACATTATGAACATGTCCTTTGGGCACTTTCTCCACCTGAGGAATAGTTAAATTCCCTCACTTTTGTTTGATCCATAACTAGCAAAAAATTAACACATATACACACATCACACATAAAAGATATGACTGAGAGTTCTCAAACTTTTGTTTTGTTTTTGGCAGCTGGCCAGTACAGGAATGGAACCCTGGACCTTGGTGTTATCAGAGCCATCCTCTAACTAAGCTAACCGGCCAGCCCTTCCCACTCTATTAATACTCTCTTCTTTCATCAACTCGATTCTACACAGACTAAGCCTTCTCTCTTATTCGAGATCTTTCTATTAGGTCATCTAGAGGCATAGATAATACAGCTGGACCCTACTCGTCTGCTCTACCATTAACAAGCCACAAGGAATGAATGGTAATCAAAGTGCAAGAAGTTTTACGGACAGCTTTTTTCCTTTGTCTTTGTGTTTAAATATTTGAAGTTCTAAGTTATCATACACAGTCATTTCATATTAAGACTGTGAGGTGATAATTTAGAAATTATAGGATAATAAAGTTTCCACTTACATTTGAAAGTCTTTACCAGGAACACCTTACGGCACATCTTTTTATATGCTAAGCATATTTTTAATTGATAAAAAGGACAAAACCACAAAATTATCATTCAAGGGTCCATTGCGTGTGTCCTGGTCTTACTCAAAGGTAAAAGGTAGTTTTAGTCAAGTAAACAATTATAATCACACCAGCCTGAGGCAATGTTACTGAATTTAAGAGTTCTGAATTCTAAGTATCCCTTGCCTTTTCCTTCTTCCACTGCTTTCTCTAGCTACTTTGCACTACTCACATTTGGAGTTTCACTTTCTCCCCTTTCCTAAGTGGTGCACATATGAAGGTTTTGCCCATTGGATGAGCAAGCAGCAGCCTGTTAGTGCTTTTTAATTGGCACTATAACCCCTTCCAACTTTCCCAATGATAGCTCAAATTCACTACAATTCTTTGAATTAATCACTGCCTTTTTAGTGTTTGCCTCTTCTGAAAGTTAAATGTTATTGGGAGAGTAAAACTCCCAATGCCTAATTTTAAAGGATTTTATGGGCAGAGAAGGAGAACTCTGACACTTGGTGTTGGGGAGGGAGTGATGGAATACGCAGAAGAGATGAGGGAGTAAGAAGGAAGGCAAAAAGCTAAAGATGAAACTTTTACTGATTGATAATTTTGCCTGTGGGTCAACCCCTAAAAGTAAAAAACAAAAAGTGTCAGTCTAAGGGGCTAATGATTAATAACCAATTTTATAGGCTTTATCCCATTAACTTTTGCAGAAGTTTTCCATGTTGACAAATAAGTACTCCCTTCATTTGTAAAATGAAGACATGCAGATAGAATGGGAATTAAGCTTTCACAAATACAATAGGATCTGCTGCAAGGGTTGTGACCAGTTTCTGAGAGTACGTTTCCATTTGAGTTCACAAGGGAAAAGGAAAGAGAGTTATCAGGAGGCAAGATTCATCACAAGACTAACCAGAAGGATCCTGATTCTAGAACTCAATCATGGCTTCCTAATATCTACAACTTAATATCTTTAATGTTGAAGCTGGGAATTCTACTCTTATCTCATGATTTAAATTCTGCTACTCTGGTTTTTAAATGCCATCAATGAGTGGCACTTACTTGATGCTATGTAAGGGGAAGGGCATAAGTGTGACTTAGCCCTTTAAATAAAGGTAAAAGACATTCGGTGTCATGACATGTTATATAGGAAGTTTCAAAAGGCAGTAAATACAGTTGTATTCTACAGTTGGCATTTTTCAAAGTATTTTCACAGTATTATGTCATTTAATCCTCCTCATTTTTACATCAATTTACAGATGGAGGGAAAGGTTCAGAGAGGTTAGGGAACTTGCTTAAGGTTACACTTAGAAAGTGGCAAATTTGGTAATGAAGTCCCACATTGACGTAGATGTAGAGCTTTTCCTTCCATGAAGAAACCCCCCTCCCCACCTTTGAGAATCTAACAAAGCTCTTGTCCAATTCTCCAGAAAAATGCACCTTCACACATTCTAGATATAATTTCAGGGGCTTCTTAGACCCAGATTAAGATCTTCTGTATGCCCTGTGGTTGTGCATGACAATGGAGCCAAAGGGGCAGAGTCTACTCATCCTCTTCTCTAGATCTATGTGATATTATGAGAAGGAGGTGAACTGAAAGAGAGCTTATATATATAATAAAAAGACACTGAACTAATCTTGCAGTTACTGCTTCGGGAAGAGAATGCATAGGCTGCGGTATCAGAGCTGGGTATGGAAGTGGCCTCCAGTACTATTCTGGACAAGTTCCTTAATGTAAATGAACTTCTGCTTCTTCATCTGAAAAAATGGAGACTATACCTACCTCATAAAGATGCTATGAGAATCAAATAAAATAATGTGTTCAATGCACCTAAGCACTGTATCAGTCTCTTAGAAGAAATTGAAGTGTAGTTATTAGTAGAGGATCCAGAAGGTGATATAATGGAAAGAGGCCAACATTTGGGAAAAAATGACTTGTCTTTTAATCACATCTTACCGTTTAATAGCTCAGTGACCTTGGGGAAATTATTTAACTTCTTTGAGTTTCAGTTTCTTCAGCTGCAATATGGGAACTATCTACATTTAGTTGTTGTGAGGACAGAAACGATACAAATAAAATGCCTAACAGTATCCGGCATGTTGTAATTGTTACTATTATTAGGAAGATGATTAATAACAAATGTCTGCAATATAAGAGAAGGATGTAGTGTTTTTCCATGGGAAGAGAGCAAAATACAAGGCACCACATCTCTCCCTTTTTATGGCTGTGTGTAAATCTTTAAATTGCTTAGAAGTCTTCATATTTGAGGTAACAATGTGGTACAGGAAATTCTCACCATTTCTTCAGAGACCACGCCAAATAAAATCTAGCCCAAACCACAAAGGTTTAGACTGTCCTAAGACTCTCATAAATGTTACCCAGCAAAATAATGGGTGTAATATTTAAGTGAATGTAGATCGAATTGTAAAAACATATAACTCCAACATCTCCACACACACTGTTGTTTTAAATCACATTATCTTTGGGTGACTGCTATATGTTCTCTGTAATAATACATTCCTCTAACTTTGTTGAAATGTTTCTTACTTTTAATGAATTTCAAAGAAAAAAGCAGCAATGGGCAGGTGAAAAATATATTAAAAATCTAAACTCATAATTTAAATAAATGAATAAGGTAATTATTCACTCATAAGGAATTGCCACGAAATGTCTTTAAAGAGCCTGTTCTTGGGAGATATTAAAAAGCATGTAATTTTGGGGCTGGCCAATAAGCTCAATTGGTTATAGATTAAACATCAAGGTCACAGGTTCAGATCCCTGTACCAGCCAGCTGCCAAAAAACAAAACAAAACAAAAAGAAGAAAAAAGAAAAGTGTGTGATTTTTTAAAAACCCTCAATTTTCATACAACTTTTCATTTATTGCAGTAAGCACAGCTATGACAGTTGGGATTGATGGACTTTAATTATGAAAGAGATAAAGGGTTATGGTTTTTGCTTATCTAAAAGATTTCTAAGACTGGCTGAAGAGGAAATTTAACATTTAATACCAAAAAGATGGAGAATAGAAAAACAATGATAACTGTTATACCATATTTACTCAGAGATTGTACTGTCAGTAACTCAATCACCTATACCATAACTGCCGACCCTTAAGAAAGGGAAAGGACCTCTGGGCCCCTGATAACTCAAAATGACTCTACTTATCCGAGATTTCTGACTGTTGATTTATTTTTACTTTATTTATAGCTCTAACCAAACTTGGCTCTTCTATTTTCCAGCTCACAGAAGATTAGAGGCAGCAAGCTAGAATGAAAGGGGTAGTAGTTATGGATGGACAAAATAATAGTACTATAAAGTTATGCCTATTAGCTAAGAAAAAAGAAAAGAAAAACTACTAGAAGATCGACTGAGGCTGTTCAGCAAAGGAGCACAAAAACTACATCAAAATTGATGTACCAAATGATGACTTAGTTTCTAAGTTAAACAGCAAGTACTACTTAGGAGAAAAAATATACATCTGATTGATTTTATTTCTATTTTTAAAAAGGTCAAAATAAAAGATTTTATGTTTCAGCAACTTTGAAAATCTATCAGCTGTATCCCCCACTGATGTTGGCTAATGAAACTACTAGTCTTTCCATCCCACCTCTCCAATCATATTTATTAAAATAAATGCAATGAAAATCCCATCTCTCGCGGTTTATACAATTACCCTATATTCAACTCAATACTTTCTTACATTAGGTTTCTTTCTTCTGACAATCAGCTGAACTTCTTGTGCTGAAATATACAATCTTGAGCAGTTAGTTATCACTAGCCAGCAAGATAAGAATTTTACAAACGCTCATTGTTCATGTTCTTCATGAGAAAACTGGTCTCTGTTGGTAAATTTGTTCAGCTGAGAGTTTGGAGCCAGCACTGGCAGCCTACTGTATAAAACAATGAGTAATTCCAAGATGCTTTGGACAAGTTAATTAATCCTTGTTTATATATATGCACTGCAAACAGATAAGCTTAATCTCAACTTTTTCTGTATATTAAAAAGTATATATCCAGTAAAAAGAAATAAAAATACATACTTAAAAATGTAACTTACCTCATCACTTTCAGGCTGTGAAAACACAATTGGCTGGCCTATATCTGAAGCTTCCCTTATATTAAGGTGTAAAGGAATGTCTCCTAGAAGAGCCCACCAGATATCCATTAGTACCAGAAAAGTTTACAGGCATTTGGAATCTCACTATTTGAACTCTGGAAAGAAACAAAATTTGAACTAAACAGATTCAAATCAACTCAATTATGACTATTCTCAAATTGCTAAATCTCTGTAAAAAAAATTTCAAATGAAAATTAGGGCAAACTATTCCATTTGAGGGTAGTATGGTGATTGCATATGTATACATGAAAGCTGTGTGGCAGCCAATCAAGGTATGACTGATGGATTCTTTGCTAGAGGTCTTCTAGCAAGAAATGGCTTGGAAAACATTTGTAAATTATTTCTCCCTGTAATATCACATACTAAGAGGAAACTGAAGATGAAAAGATGGGGAGGCAAAGTAGTCCCCAAAAATTACAATAAAATAATCTTCCTGATGTTGGCAGATGGGTGAGCTAAGGGAACTGTTGAAAAGTAGACCAGACCTGTTATCTCAACCATCTGCCTTTTTATCAGATAGAATTATTATTCTCTTATTTACTAATCCGTGTAGCATTACATATAACTTGTGAGCTTGATGAGATCTCAGGAAGTATATAATTTGAGCCTCCAATATACTGACTGAGGTTGGAGAGGTTGTGTGTGTTTTCTGAGGTGGCAGGATTTAAGAGCAAAATGCTGACCCATTATCCAAAATACTCTTCACACGATTACAAATGAAGTCTTTCAAAGGCGGAGATTTAAAATGCAGTAAATGGAGTCTTAAATAGAAAAGTTGACTTGTGTGCCCTTGAATGGTATTCAGCATTCTCAGAATCATTCCAAATCCATGCAAAGGTTATTGAAACGTGTATGTGTATGTGTGTGTTTTGTGTAAACAAGTCATTCAGCACCATGCCAGGCAATGTGAATAAAGCAGAAGTATAAGTTACAGAATTTTACAATTTATATTATGAAGTGTATGGCAGAGGAACAGATATTTCATGCTCCTTATGTCAGAAAATTTTGCTTAATGTATTCTTTAAGTCTCTTTAATATCCAAAAGCCAAATATGAGGGTACCTCAAAAAGTTCATGGAAAGATCTATATTATCTTTTAATTCTATTTTTCCACAAACTTTTTGAAGTGCCCTCATACATGAATACAAAATATGTGATTATTTCAGGAGCCATTTAAAGATCAGCTTTTCAGAAAATCTGATGTCTATTCTATAGATCAATTTAAGACTGTCATGGGGCGAGCAGAGAAAAATAAGTTATAGAAAATACTTGTAAATCCATAGAGCTTTTTTCCTTGATTTATAAACTGCCATTATTGTAAGGAATCCTGAATGACTTATTTTCTACTGCAGAAACAGAAGAAAAAAAGAGTAAAACCTTCTTTATACAGCCACCTCGTGACATCATTTCTGCCCTCCAGAGATTCACAATCTTACCTACAGACACAGAAGAGTAGACCAGGAAAGAAAAAAACCTTGCTAGAAAATAGGTCACGAGAGAGTAGTAATTATGAGCTGTTAACAGTTGTTAACTAGAGAGGGATAAAAAGAAGTGAAGGTATGAAGTTAGAGAGGAGCAGCCTGGGTGTGAAAAGTACCTTTCAGGGCTTGGTTTGAAAGAAGTGAAGGCACATTTCAGACACATAATAGGTTAAAGAGTTTTCTGTGAAAGGGTCTGAGACCTTAACTACTATGCATAAACTGTCCCTGTAGGTAAATATGGATAAGATTCTGAAGAGCCATTTTACCAAATAATCATTTAAACACAACCCAGTGGATGAAAACAAATTAAGAGGCTGCCAGGGAGTCAGTAAAAAACAAATTAGGGTTCCTGCAGGCTTCGACCAACCAGGCCACAGCTGAGAGAGCTCTTTCCCTGATTTCAGTTTCTCATTCCCAATTTCAACCTCTTCATAATTGGATTCCCTGCTCCTGTTTATGGGAGACCCCTCTGGGACCCTATGACTGCATTAAAAGATGCGTCCTGAGTTGGAACTCTAAATGATTTTTCCTGTAACATTGTTAGACACAGCAGTCTACTGTCTATCCAGTTTTTGTAATCAGCAATCATTGTTTCTGATACTTTTTTAGTGTAACTGTACATCTGTGAACTGTTGGTTAAAATGAAACTTCCATATGTGAGAACATTTCTCTCTGCAATGTTTCAAATTCTAAATAACTGACTTACAAAATTGTACCACTCATTTATAAGTTAGAGAATTACAATACTGTCAGTATAATTCAATAATGCCATTATAATTACACATTTACTTTAGTATATAAGTAAATGTCAATCTGTTACATTATTATGCAGATTTGGAAAATTGAAATTTCTACATTAAATGAAAAACAGTTGCAGAACATAATTAGTGATTATAATTATAGCAATCTATCAAAATATATCATTAGTATTCACCTAGTATTTTAGTGACTGTTATATTGCAAATGCATAATAATATAATACATTTAACATCAACTTTTAGAAACTTAATTATAACAGAATGTTTTGAAATTCCTTGATCTCTTAAGGATCTTAATTTTTAACTACATAAAACTAATAATTCACTCAATGCCTCCTTTATTCAGCATCTAACATTTGCCTTCCCCCAGAAGGCACCAGAAACTCATTCACAATTAGAATATCAAAACATGTTTTCTAAAAATTCCATTAAGTTGTTTGTGGATTTTTGAAAAATCATGTTTTATCCAAAATCTGTTTTGCTCACTTAACACAATTTTAATTCTCCTCATAGTAGTAACTATTCAATTCAGTGTTGTAAACAGTGCATACAATGTAAACTTGAGGTGCCATACTTTACAGGCATGGCAAACACATAAAAAGAGTGCAGAAAATAGTAAATATTGGTGTTCTAAAGCAGAAAGACTGATAAATATGGAACTGATCAGGAAGGCATTTTACATGAGCACCAAGAACTGACACTTCCAGAGGTTGCTACAACATACTGAACAGGTATTTCATGTACATCCGTTTACACTGAGAGATATATGCCCAACTTAGCAAACAAATTGATGACCATCATTTAAAATACAGCTTCAAATCATAATATCTGGACTACAAAACTCTCTCCTCAAATTTAAGTTATAAGCAGTTTTTTATCTATAGTAGAAATTATTATCACAGTCAGCAGAACAAACTCATTCAAAGAAGCCAAAGAAAGTTCAGCTCATAGAACTGTACTATACTAACTTAATTTAAGACACAAAGCCAAATGCATCTCATTTGCTGAGAAACTGCTTATCACCAAGCTTCATCCCCACTTTCCCTTCTGCAACTTCTTCTACAAAACAGCATCCTGTGGTCTTACCTAGAACATCAAGATCAAGGGTCTGTGCTAGTTTCCTTGCACCATCAGCACCAAAAATATGAGTTTTGTGTTTACATTTTGGACACTGGAAAACACTCATGTTTTGGACAAGGCCAAGAACCTAGAATAATAAAAACACATTGAAATAAAAACAAAATTAAACCAGACTTTAATACATTAGTTCAACAAGTTCTTATTGAGCACACACTAGGTTCTAATGATACTATGATGAGTAAGTTATGGTCTCTACTCTCAAAGAACTCACAAGCTAGTGAAAGAGCGAGGTGTATGTACAGTAATTAACTTTAATATTGTGATAAATGCTAAAGAGAGATGAGTAAACAGGAACCAAAAAATTCTGCCAAGAAAGAATAAGAGAAATCTTTGAGTTGCCTGTAGACAATTGTTTCTTCGGTTGGTGGTGACAAGAGGGTTGAAGCCTACAGCAGGAACTGTAGGCAGAAGGAAAAGCACAAGCCACAGCAGCAAAATATAATTCTGTGTGGCCTCGTTGGGCTGCAGCACAGTGGGTGGTCAAGGCAGAAGATGACTTGGTAAAGAAGATAAGGGTCAGATGGTAAGGTGCTAAGTGCTATCCATATATTTGAGAATTTCTTCTTCAGACAGGAAACCATTAAAGGTTTTTAAAGTTGAGGGCCGGCCCGGTGGCGCACTGGATAGTGCGCCGCTTGGGAAGCGCGGCGGCGCTCCAGCCCAAGGGTTCGGATCCCACATACAGACTGGTTCCCGCTCACTGGCTGAGCGAGGCGCGGGAGCAACACCGAGGGTTGCGATCCCGTTGCCGGTCCCCGGTCCGGTACGGGGGCAACACTGAGGGTTGCGATCCATTGCCAGACACGGAAAAAGACAAAAATAAAATAAAATAAAATAAAGTTGAGATGGTATCAAAGAGGTAGTTTTACACAATCAGATTTGTGTTTTAGAAATTTAGCTGTAACAACAATGTGAGGAAAAATAAGAGGGAAGAAACAGGAAAATTATTATTTAAGAGGTTAACTGTGGATGAGGTCTCACAGTAAATAATAGCTTACATATACTGAGTGCTTAGTATATGCCAGGCACTCAGATAAGTGCTTCAAATGTACTATCTTATTTACTCCTCACAAGAACTTTATGAGATGCTTATTTTATCACCCCCACTCCATAGCTAAGAAAACTGACAGTGCTATCAAAAGATGAAACTCAGGGCTGGCCTGTGGCTCACTCGGGAGAGTGTGGTGCTGATAACGCCAAGGCCACGGGTTCGGATCCCATATAGGGATGGCCGGTTTGCTCACTGGGTGAGCGTGGTGCTGACAACACCAAGTCAAGGGTTAAGATCCCCTTACCAGTCATCTTTTAAAAAAAAGATAAAACTCAGCTCTTATCAGAATGTTATTGTTTGAAACAAAATTTTAAAGTTTCGTAGAAAATGTCCATCTCCTTCTGAGTTTCCCCAGGTTCTGGAATGAAATAGACACGTAATAATCGACACTACTGTTGAATAAATGGACACGCTCTGCAAATATAATCCTTATTCATGTTCCTTTTAATCCTACTTTCTTACTGATGAAAGTAGTAGCTCTCTTGTAGAATAAAAATGCAGAACACTATTATCACAGGGTTAGAGATAACATCTGTATCATTCTATTTTACCATAAAATTACCATTGTAGGAGATTATTAGAACATTTGCATTTTAAATGAAGAATAGCACTGACAGTCCACAATGAAACTATATATAGGCAAGGTGATAAAATCCATTATTCTTCCTGAAAAGAGGAACAGAAAGACTAAAATTGCCCACAACACATGTAAATGAAGACAAATAGTGAAGAACATAAATTTGTAGCAAAGCACTTTCCAAGCATCTAATATCTGCCCTTTTGCTGATGCAAAGTATCACAAGAAATAAATCATATTCTGTTTTGGTAATTGAGAACTATCTCTACAAAGCTAAAAGAAAACATGGCTTAATATCACACAGCTTATTTGTGTATTCACTATGTCTATATAATATACTTATTGCTTGGGCAGTTTTACTACCATTTATGTAAAATGTGATATATGCCCTGACTGTAGGGCTTTCAACTTAAACACAAAAATATAACTCAAGAAATAAGAAAAGGAAAAACAAAGAAAATGGAAATCTAGGTGATTTCATTTCAGGAAGAACAGGAAAAGCATTCTTACCTTGGAATCTTTGAGACTCCCCAAGACACATAGGCATGGAGCAAGAGTATATTTGCAGTTTCTGTGATTTATTTACTGAATTATTCTCTACAGACTATATAAATATCTCAGATAAGCTCTCCATAGACTACATTAATGTCATGGACATAAAATATAAAACTATGATCAGATTCAGTATTTAATGAGCTCTTATTATATGCCAGTAATGACTAAACACAAGGGATGACATACAGTGGTGAACAAAACAGACGTGATCCTTGCCCCCTTGGAGCTTGCACTCTAATTGTAAAAAATGGATTGAATAAATAGCAGTGAAAAAACATACTTATTTTTTATGGAACAACTTCTCTGGAAGCAAAATACAGAGTATTATGAGACTGTAGAGCAGAAAAGACTCAATCTACTCTGGGAGTCAGAGAAGGCTTCCTTGAGGAAACACTTGACCTAAAACTTACAGAATAACTGGCAAAAACAAGAAGAAAGGGAAGAAAAACATTCAAGACAAAAGTAGGGAACACGTATCTCCCTTCAAGGAATTGAAAGGCTTGTCTGAGGCCATTTATTTTTTTTTAATTTTTAAAATTTATTTTATTTCATTTTTTTTATTGAAACATGATTATACATGTTTATGGGGCACAGTTATATTACAATACATGTGTACAATGTGTGATGATCAATTCAGGGTAATTAGCACATTCATCATTGCAAAACTTAATCATTTTTTTGTGATGTAGTCATTTGGTCACCTTTCTGCTAGCCATTTGATAACATGCAGTAAATTATTGTTAATTATAAATGCCTAGCTCAACAGTTCTGTACACCAACAGAACTTGTTCTTCTTATCTAGCTATAATTGGTGATGGAGTTTGGTGTCCATCTCTCTCTATTCCCTCTTCCCCTTCCCCTTTCCCACCTCTAGTAACCATGGTTATACTCTCTCCTTCTGAAAGTTCATCTATCTATCTATCTATCTATCTATCTATCTATCTATCTATCTATCTATCTATCTATTTTAGCTCCCACATATGAGCAAGAACATGCAGTATTTCTCCTTCTGTGCCTGGCTTATTTCACTTTAGGTGTGGTGTGAGTAGTGTGAGATGAGGCAGGAAAGGTAGGGCTTTAATAAGGTGTCTGGGTCATACAATGTGTGGAAAGAGAAGCCATTAAAGGGTTTTAAGCAAGAGAGGCTACTATGCCTGTATTTGTAGCAGACTCATTACTCAGGACTGTAGGGTTTTAAAAAGAACATGAAATACGGAAAAAACTAAAAGGACTTATCTTTGTGTGTTTATTTTCTTAGATAAACACAAATCCAGGACTGTGTTCTCTAAAAACAATCATGGGAGAGGTAATCACTTTTAGTGCTGCCTAAAATATGTCCAGTTCTCCTCCTGGGCACAAGGTTAGGATTTTCCTTTTCTGCAATTAGGTGAGAACATGTAACTTGTTTGGCCAAGGAAATGGGAGCAAAAGTGTCATGTGTCACATCTGGGCCGAAGCTTTAAATGCCAATTCCCCACTGTCTTTCCCTCTGTCCTGGTGACCAGCAAGTCTCCAGATGGTGGCTGCTCTGTCATTCTGGGTGCCAGAGTAAGAACAACAGAGAAGATTGCTGAAGCCAAACCACCATAGACATGTAGCATGAGAGAAATAAACTGGTGTTGTTTTAAGCCACTGAAATTTGAGGGTTGTTAACACACATAATTTAGCGTGATACAGGGGTGTAGGAAGAAAATATTAGAACTTCTATTTCTATTTCTGTATGATTTCCTTTGTAATTTTTAATTTTGTGTATATTTTATGATGAAAATAACATTAATGTAGCAATACATGTATACTACATATACGTATACGTGACAAATAAATATACATATATTGGGATATATGCTCAGACGTCATTTACTGATAAGGATGTATAATCAAAAAAGTTTGGAGATAAAGAACCTTCTATATGTTTGAAAGTCAGAGGTTTTGACAACTAAGCTTGGCTCTATTACTGATAATACGTAACTTCTTCCAGTTTAAGGATAAATTCCCTAATATTGCTTCGTAGGTCATCTTGAATAAACGAATTCCACTTAACTCTAGAATTTCCTCATCTTAAGAACTTCCCACACATGTGCCACTTTGCTTGATTTTCTTTAAAATGCTGGTTGTAATGGAATGCAACAGAGAGCCCAGAAAAGACCCATACATAAAAGTCACTGATTGACAATAGAGATGACATGACAATGCATCTTAACTGGATATCCATATGGAAAATAATGAATTTAGCTTTCTACCTTACTCCATACACAAAAATTAATTCCAGGTGGATTGTAGAGCTAAGTGTGAAAGGTAAAACAATAACACTTTTAGAAGAAAACAGGCAAACACACTTCTAACCTTGGAGGCAGGCAAAGATTTTCCTGGCAGGATACAAAGAAGTACTAAACATAAATGAAAAATTTAAAATTAAATTGGACTACATTAAAAATAAGAAACTAACCAAAACACATCACTAAGAGAATGAAAAGGCAAGCTACAGAGCAGGAGATGATATCTACAATACATACATATGACAAAGGACTTTTCCCCAGAGTATATAAAGAACTCCTACAAATCAATAGGAAAAAGTCAGACAATACAATTAAAAAAACGAGCAAGATACTTGAGAGATACTCCACAACACAGGATATACAAAGTAAATTTATGCTTAAGACTGGATTAGAAAATATGAATGTCAGTATAACTAAAACAAACCAAAAATCAAAAACAAAACCAAATGTTGGTGAGGATGTGGAACAACTAAGACTCACAGTTTCAGTTGAGTATAAGGGGGCACAACCATTCTGGAAAACTGGCAGCATCTACTTACACTGATACATGCTCATGCTACAGCACAGCAATCCCACTCTCAGTTATATACCAACAGAAATGTGAACAC